CACACACACACACACACACACACACACACACACGAACACGGACACACGGACACACAGACACGGACACACACAGAGACACACACACGGACACATGGACACACACAGAGACACACAGATACACACACACACTACACACAACCTTTCTCTGTCCCTCTTACCTTATGCTGGAAACTTTTCAGCTACTTAAAAATGTAAACAATTCTTAAAAGGAAGGAGAGACAAAAGAACAGTCCCCTCCACACAGCCAGTTTACCTGGGCTTTACTAGTGACAAGGACAGACACTTCTTGGAGAGCCTGGCCAGTTAGACCCAGCGCAGGATGCCCCATGCTGCCCTGAGAGGGGCAGGAAAGAGGAGCCATGCAGAGAAGAGGGACAGCCACCTGGAAGATGCTCAAGTCCCACTTTGCTGGGGGTAGAGTGAAGAACGATGCCGAGGGCACACACAGAAACCTGGACTAAGCATGCCCTCTGCAGGTAGAGCTGGGAAATGCACTCACTGTGCAAGAGTGTAGAGAACAGCTGTGTAGGTCCAGGCTGCTCCCTGGTGGCCTGGGATTGCTCAGAGGCTCCACAGTAAAGAGGGCACTGTGGCAGCTTTCAGAGTGCTGTCTGGCCACCTTGACAGAAGTTGGTAGGCTGCCAGAGTCTGGTGGGACTCAACCTTCACTGCATCTATCTCCCGATCTGAGAGCACCCCCTTGCTGTCAGGCATGCCTGGGGACCCCCAGGGGCACTGTCTAGATGCAAATCAGCAAGCGGCTCCACCACCAGCCTTCTCATCTCAGTCAGCCTACCAAGGCGAGGACCGTCAAGGTGGGCAGGCATGCACACTGCTATCCAAGGCTCCAATCCAAAGAAAAGGAAAGGATGGAAATAAGAGGACTTGGGCCCACTATCCCACCGGCCATTCTTAACCCTTTCCATCTCACCCCTGCTGTGTGTCTCCGGAGCTGGACAGGGGAGCAGAAGAAACACTGGGACTCACATAGCTCTGCCCTCTCAGCATGTGCCAGGAGCCAGGCATGGCAGCTCAATCACAGCTGAGGACAAACACTTTGTCCTAGATCTGCAATGCCCTGTGGGCAGCCCTGTTGTTCCCCATCAGCAGGGAACAACCCAGAGAGACTCAGGTCGACTGTGCATATCCCAGCAGGGATGCTCTCTCCACCGAGACCTCCTAGGAACCGAGAGATGCTATTCAAGGGCCTCTGAGTCCCCATCCCATGTGGATGTGTGTGTGTGTGTGTGTGTGTGTGTGTGTGTGTGTGTGTGTGTGTGTGTGTGAATGCATACGTAGTAGTCTCTGTGTCTTTTGCAACTGCAGGCAAACACTGTTCACTCTCAGGCCCTGCACAAGGTACAGCCACACACTCAAGAGTGTGCTTGCATCTGCTTGCATCTGCATTGGAGGGTTTCATTCTTTCTCAACTCTGACCTCTGAATTTGCAGGTGTCCACATCCCCACTGTGTGTAAAGGTCACCAACCAAGTCAGCTCCTACTCCTGAGAAAATGAACTATTATGGCTCCCCCCCCCCCCGCAAGCCCATAGGCTCGAATTTAACAAAGGTATTGTTTGGGTGCAGTCATTGTGAGTTAGGATGAAGGACATCTCTCAGGCAGCCAGGCCTTGTCCTCTCCGCCTTCAAGGAAAAGAATATCCTGTTCTGGCCACATTCGGTTGGCCACACCCTGGGCTCCCATCTCTTCTAGGATGCCAAAGAAAGTGCAAGCCCCACTCTTCTTGGAGGTTTCTGCCTGGAAAGAAAATAGACCTTTCTTATGACACTGGGGGAGGCTGGATGGGGCTTCGCCTGTACTGAGTACTGCAGCCTTTGACTTCTTGCTGACAGGGACCCCCGGGCAGGATGGAAAATTTGTGCAAGGTCTGCTGCCAATAAATGACAGAGGAGTCGCAAACACAGTGCTGTCTGGCTTGCAGAAATTAACCAGGGAGGACAAAGGTACAGGTAAGTACAGCTAATGGTGAAATCGATGTACATCCATGCGGACACAGACAATGAGACAGATACGCAGGTAACAGAGTTATGACTATAGGAATCTAGACAGATACAGATGCATGCATCTTCCACCATGCCCAGAGATGAGGAATAATGCCACTGAGACACTGTTCCCTTTCCATCCCAGCCCTCCAAAAGCCCTGGCAGACGTTCCTTGACTCCAGTTCTATGTGCCACAGAAAACGGCATCTTCCCACTCCCCATCAGTCTATGGCCACTGTCAGTCTGCTGTGTTTCCTGGACTAATTGTCCACCCCAGATAAATCACCTTGCTTCTCTTACAAACCTGTGTGGTGCCTAACTTTCCAACTCTTTGCCTAAGATGACAAGAAACACCCGGCCCTGGAGCGTGACTACCAGTGACAACATGCCAGCCTTGATCTGCGGCTATTTAGAGGGGACAGGAAGGTAGACAGGGACCCAGTGACAGGGCAGTCAAGGGAGTCTGGGTGCAGAGGGCAGGACAATGCTCTCTGGCAACCCTTTGGAACTTCTTGCCACTCTTTCCTGAGAAATGTGTCCCCTCCTCTCTTCCCTCCTGATAAATGTGTCCCCTCCTCTCTTCCCTTCAACTCTCTTCTTCTCTTTCTTGTTTTCTCACCCAGAAAACCTCAATTTCATCTTTTCTTCTTCCCCACCGACCCCTGATTCTTCATTCACCGGCTTCCTCTGGTTCCCCACAGCTTAAGAAGGGGAGGCTGGGCCAGCCACAGACTGAAGGATGGGGTCTGGCAAAGGCCTGTGTGCTCTGTTTCATTTCTTCCTCTCTGCATGCTAGCCTCCGAAGATGACACCCTTGTGACTGACTTGTTTGTTCACAGCCTCCCACCGCCAGCCTCTATGAGGGACTCTTGTCCCTGAACTATTTACAGTTGAGAGCAGTGGTCCTCAATCTTCCTAATGTTGTGACCTTTTAATACAGTTCCTCATGTTGTGGTGACTCCAACCATAAAATTGTTTTCATTGCTACTTCAGAACTGTGAGTTTGACACAGTTATGAATCATGATGTAACTATCTTTCCTGGTGATCTCAGGTGACCCTGCACAACCCACAGTTTGAGAACCACTGCTTCAGTGAATCTGTGTAGTTGTGTGGCCACAATTTGGAGCCCTGGAGAAAAACAAATTCAGCTCACAGTCATTAAAATGCCCCAGGCTGCCCTGAGGAATCCCTGTGCAGGCTGTGAGAAGGCACTTAGAACACTGCCTTGGTGTTCTGTTTGAGCTAGGAGACCTGGCCTACCCTTTGAGAACTGTCTGGGAGTTGGGGCGTAAATACTGTTGTCCGCATGTCTAGGGCCATGACTGACTGCCCAGACACATCAGCTACAACTCCCTCCTAGGATGGCACCTTCACTGGCTATATTATTTACTCAGCAGCCATTTGCCCTGTCGCCTGTACTGGGAACTGGGTTGGTGTCAACGGTGCAGGCCCTTGATACTGCTAAGACAATTCAGAAGGGCTGTCCCAGCTTCAGAGCCATGGAGTCTGCTAAATTCGCTATGGCTGTGGCACAGGCCACCTTCATGTCTATCTGTGACCTTCCCTTTCCAAGGCTTTGGTCCTCAGAACCCTGTTTTGTCTTGTTTTTCCAGGTTTTTTTTTTTTTTTTTTTTTTTTTTTGGTGGGTTGCTTCCCTCCTGCTGCCCCTGAGTACTCTGTAAACTTCCTCCGAGTATCCCCCATTAACTCATTTCTCACTCCTCAGTGATTCTCAGGAAGCGTACCCACAAAGTAGGAAATGCCTACGGTCAACCCTGGTTTTGTGATTTAGGACAAGTTTTTAATCTTTCTAAATCTCGTTTGCCACCAGGAGACAAGGGCTTCTATGAGGACTCATTTTTGTATTGTGTGCGAGCATCCAGAGCACTGAGCAAGGGATGCTCCAGCACCCCTTCTGGGATGGCTCTTGAACACACCACACATTCTACTCAGTTCAGGTTTCTACTGCACCAAGTTTTTTTTAATATGTATTTTTCCTCGTGTTTATGAATGCAGCATAGCCCTGAGAAGAATGTCCTCTCCGTAACTCAGATCTGAGAGCTCCGCCCTACATAAAGTCGCCCCCGTCAGAAGACCAGAGAGCTCTGGAGTTAGCTGATTTCAAACACTTCATCAAACCTGGATAATTCATCCTGAAGTTTCCTTACCTGCCTGTGGCCGATCCACCTCTCCATGAATTTCTTCCAATCCCAGCTGCTCCTCAGAAAGCCTCCATCATCCATCCTCCGTCACTAGACAGAGACTGCCCATCATCTGGGCTGGCCTGACCTGCTCAGTCATTGCACTACATAGAATATTCTTCTGGGATATCCAAAACAAGGTGAGCCTCCTTGTCTGGATCTTTTGGAATTTTCTCTCTGGTAACCCGGGCACCAAGCTGTGAGAAACTCATGCTCCAAGAGATGCTGTGTGGGGTGCACTGGTTAACCGTGCCAGTGGGCAGCTGGTGGCAATGGCAGCCAAGTGAGTGGACCTTCCTGGGCATCCTTCCACCTTGGCCTTCAGATGCCTACAGCCCCCCCCAGCTGCCACCTGACTGCAGTTCCATAAGAGCCCCCCCCCCCAAAAGAAGAGCCCTGCTAAGCCCAGAAACCGACAACCAAGAAACGTAATTATGTTGTTTTTAGCCACTAAGGCACAGTTTTTTACACTGGAACCATAATGCCACCTCCTGGGGTGTTCAGAAAATTAAATGAGATAACTCAGGCGAATGGATTAATTCTGTCAGCGATTACTAACCTTTTAAAATGCAATCTGCCTACAAGCTCCAAGTCCTGGACACAGTCAGCACCTCCTAGTCCATGGTTAGTGGGCATCTGTCCCAGACAAGCTTTCTGTGTGGTCATAGATTTTCATAGTTTCATAGTTTCATAATCCAATAATAGTTTTAAGCCCTATCTACTCCAGGAAGAGCAGCAATGGCCATGTCAGAGGCAAACACGTGGGCGTCTCTACAGGGTTTCATATGTACAGTGACAGCAGGAGGAGGCAGGTATTCCCTCTAAGGCCGCCCTCACTGCACACCGCTTACATGAGCTCGGGTACCCGAGCTCTGGAGCCTGCTTCTGGGTTTTCTGGGCACCACCATGTGATTCCGAGTGGCAGTTCTCGGGTGCCCTGGCTCCTTGATCCAGATCCTGAAGTTGGACTCTTGCACACACGTCACTGTCCCTACTGATCTCTTCAAGGAAGGAAGGGAGGGCAGAGGGGAGGGCAGAGGGGAGAGCAGGAGGGAGGGCCTGCCTAACTCTGGAACTGGGCCAGCAGAGGTCTTTCAGGCTATTGCTTAGGTCTTGTTTGTTAACTCATCATTAAGCCCCTAGCTCCCAGAACAACCAAAACAAGACAAAACTGAAAAGAAAAAGAAAAATTACCCTATCGTGTGAAATTCAGAAAAACACCAGCAATGATTCTTTGGGGTCAAGTCTGTTTCAAAAACAACATCAGGGAAAATCAACAGCAGCCCCCTTGGGTTTCCCGCTGACACCATGTTTTTAACAGGCTGGTGATCTCAGAGGCAGGGGAAGCCAGTTATTACAAAACCCTCATGAGTTCACGCTGGGGTCACCAGAGCCCCACCAGCAACAGCTGCTGAGTTTGCGGGGCTATCAGTTCTCCACAGAGAGCTGAGTTTTATGGATTCTTAAAATTATCTTTAAAAACGTCTCGCAGGCGGTACATACAATCACAGGGGTTGAAAATTTTGTGTTTTATTTAACATGTAGGAGAGTTTTGCATACATGGATGGAGCACCATATGTGTGCAGTGCCCATGGAGGCCAGAAGAGGGCGCCAGATCCCTTGAACTGAAATCAAGGACAGGCTAAACAGCCCATGTCCATGCGGGAACTCTAACCCAGGGCCTCAGGAACAACACCGTGTTTTCTTAAGCACTAGATTAGAACTTTTTATTTTAAATGACAGTCGTAAATTCTGTGCCATATTTTGGATTTGGTGCTTTGGTTTGGTTTGGTTTTAGTGTGTGGGTTTTTCGTTTTGAGCAGATTCCTTCATCACCTCCCTGAGTGACCTGGAACCACTCTCAGGGTTTTGGGAGGAGCACCAATCCACACAAGCAGCAGAAAGCTCGCTTCCTTGCGTAGTTGATTCTCTCTAATCACAAATCAGATGTCTTCTCCTCTACCCTCTCTGTTGGTAAGTTTTGCCTAAAACCTGGTAAGGGTTTGATTAACATCTCTTGGAATGCCTGCAATTACAGTTTGCACAAAATGGAGCCGCTCTCTTAACCAGCTTACCGCAATTTTTGTAATTAACAATGTATTTGTATTGTAAGGGGGACTCAATCTGTTTAATCATCTTCAAAGGGTACCTTGTCCTATACAATATCACCAATCCTTTTCTAGGCAGGAAAGGACAGGAAAGTTACGATTATAAAGAAAGCCTTGTAGGGAAAGTGTAGAGTATTTCCTTTGGAATGTACGGGAGGGGACTAAGAATTTAGAGGGGAATGATGCCTTAGAAATGCCTGGAACTCTTGGGGAGATGTTAATGAGTGTGTGCTTTGGGGCAGGAAGGATGGAGTGCAGACAATTCCAGAAGCTGTAGGACAAACCCCAGAAGATAGACAGGGACTTCTGTAGTCTGGGGCAGTGGTGGGTGATTGGAGAGCTGAGCACGTGTATGAATAGGAGCATACAGGATATTCCTCAGAGGGTGGAAGGAGATCCTAGTTAGAGGTGGATTCCAGATTGCCAGGACTAGCATCAAGGGGTTGCAGGAGCAACAGAGTTGGCCGGGAGGCTCAGGACATAAGGGTCCCTGCAGGAATGTGGCTAGTTCATGAGGGCACTAGCCAAAGGGGAAAGCCACGCCTTGGTGAGAGTAGAACCCTGTGTCTGCAGATGGCTTCTCCTTCTTAAAGCAGAAGTGGAGGAACTCTTACAGCATGACTAAAGCTCACTTCAGCCTCTGCTCGGCCCCTTAAAGGCGATGGGTGTGTGGGACTCCTTGGCCATCAGCCTCACTTTCACAGCCTGGTTAGGGGTTCGACTCTCTCATGCTCAGCATAAACACAATAGCATACATGGTGACCTAGTCTGTTCCTAATGGACCCCTTAGAAGAGGGGAGGCTCTGCGTGCATCTCCAGATTTCTCTACATCACTGTCCTATAACCCAAGAACCAGAGTTTGCATTTATTCCTTCATCCCCATCTAGACTTGGTCCAGGATCCAATAGCTTATCTTTGAAACAATATTGTCCGGGGTCTTTCCCTTTCTTTTTATGATCTTGCATTTGCTATGAACCCACACTGTTGTTTATCAAATGTGACGTCTTTCCAGCAGTATAGATGCTTTTGAGTCAGTCCTGCTCCTGGAGGTAGCCCCTCACCCACATCCCTGCAAGTAACTCCAACAAGTCCATCAGTTCACCAAGGTGAACTTCGGTCCATCATGGCCTCTTTATCTGGGGGTGAAATATATGAGAGAAAGCTGAGGTGGCTTTAAGTGTGCATACTGCAGTGTGCGTACTGGAGTGGGGTTGATGCATCAAGACAAGTTCATTAACATCCTGTGCGGCCTTGGGCAAAGCCCAATGACGTCACTAAGGAGCAAACAAACCCAACAGGCACAGGCTTTACTCACCAGTGCTCAGTGACCCCCGGCTGCCAGTCATCATATCAGGAACCTTCTGGAATTGTCTAAGAGAAGATTTGTTATCTTCAGAGATCATAGCATAATTCCCACCTAACATGGCTTCTGGGCCCTAACTTAGAGGAGGGCGTCTCAGCCAGAGTGAGTGTGGCTGACTGTGGAGTGTTGGTTCTGACAGTTTTCTCCAGATCTGAGAAACCAAATGTGGGCTCTAATGAGGTCCTGGAAGAACTGGGGCTGATCGGAGGAAGACTCACACCGAACACAGAACCGGTTAACCTGATGACATTTCCTTCTTTTAACTTGAGAAGCAGAATTGACCACAGACCAACACAGCATTGGCACCTGAGTACATGCATCCCCTCGTCATGCATAAAGCTGAAACACCATTGGAATCACTCCTTTCCCTTTTGCCACAGTAAAGCGCCCTCAAGGAGGTTTGGAGTCTGCTTAGTGGATTCACTCCACAGAGGCAGAGCAGCAGGGGATCCAGACAGGGAGTGGCTGAAGCAGACTAGGAGAGAGGTGTGGGCTAAATCATGACTCAGTGGCATTGGGCTAAGATAACTGGATGCAAATCTATAAATATTCAAAGCAAATTCCCTAGACTTCCTCTGTCCTGCACAGCATGTCTTGGCCTCGCTGTGGCTTTTCAGCTCTTTTTCTGATGGGCCTTGTCTACAGATCTTGGTCTGTATATCTTATGCTCACAACTGGAATATAGCACAGTGGTGTGAGGAGTCAGCTTGGAAGCACAGGACAGGGTGGGGTGGAAGTGGGAGCAGGGGTGTGACCAGCTCTGCCCAAGGCTGCTTTCGGAGGATCACACCAGCAGTGAAAACCCACAGAAATCAGCAAACATCACATGTCAAGGAGGCCCTCCCACACCCCAGAAGGCCAGCTGTGCAGCAGGTACCAACATCATTGGGTGTGAGTGCAATGTATTTCCAACCTTGTTTCTCTTGGGTGTACCCAGCCTAGAAGGTTCTTACACTCACATTTAGAGACAAATGTCCTGGTCTTAGGAGGCCTCTCAATTTGTTCCCGGCACTCATAATCAAGGGCTTTCCTTAAGTCAGAAAGGCTCTGGGTTCATGGGAGGCTGGCCTAAGGTAGGCACCTGCCAACTCTCAGGAAAGTATCCCAGAACACCTCTTACCTACTGAACAGATATCTCCTTGTGTGGGGAAACTGTTTCCAGCTTGGGGGAAGATTTCATAAAGTCACTGATAATCTGGACACACCGTGTTGGCTCTCCTCAGACTGTTTGCTTTGGTAACATACAGGAAAAGAGAAGTGGTGAGATTTCCCAGAGTGCGGCAGGCTGCTAGGGTGCTAACTGGAAACAAGGAGCATGAGCAGTTTCTTAAATGCCTTCAGGTTAACTGCTCCAGTAACTCACAAATCCAAGAAGAAGAAGAAAATGGTAATAGTGTGGCTGCAGAGTCCTGCTGCTTCCCACTCTCTTCTTGCTTACAAATACAGCAGCAGCAATCCCTGCCAAAGGCAGTGCTCACCGGGAAACTCAATCTCTGGGGACCGGGTGGCATGCTCCCACCCCGCTTCACTTCTGGATGCAGTGAACAGTAGATACCTGGGGGCCACAATCTGCAAATACGTTCAGGAGACCATGCTCTAGCTTGCAGCCTCCAGGAGTACCATCAGGAGTACTGTCTGGTGCTGAGAACAGCCTGGGCTGGCCCAGGCTTCGCCAGCTGCCAGGCACGAGGCACCTTCTGCAGTCTAGAGTCTCACCTGTGGCTATTCTATAGCGTCTCACCTGTTTCCCACTCAGCTCTTACTGTTAAGTGACTCACGTGTATCTTTTATGTCAATGTCTATTATCCCAGGGATTCAGCTGACTTACCCAGAAGAGCAAACGGGTCTTGGGTTTGTGAGATATTCCATAGCAGAGGCAAAATGCATTGGGTTTTATGAATAAAGACTTGGAGCCAGAGAGGTGGCTCAGAGGGATAAGGGCACTTGCCACCAAGTCTGACAATCTGAGCTCAGCTGTGGAGGTCCAGGAAGTCTGCCGTCTCATTTCCCCAGGCCAAGTAGCCTTCTGTGAATGAATTCATAATGCCTTATCTAAGAGGCCGACAAATACAGAATGGCTGTTCACAGTGAGGACCCACCACTTCCTGGCAGCCAAGATGTTGTCACCTGCGTGGTTCCCTCTCACCTAAGTAAAAGTCTGGAGAGGCCACATCTGTCATGAAACACTGGGTCCCATGAGACAGAGACAAGAAAGCCTCGTGTCTCCCTTCCTAAAAAGCACTGCAAACACAGGTTT